ATTCGTTTAAGTTTTATATATATATATATATATATAAAATTGCATTATAATCGCGTATTATTGTAGAATATAAATTCAGCAGCATTATCGAACAGCATGGACTTCAGGTAATGATGATAATATAAAATATCATTTCGTATTTGATTTAAACAATAAGTTTTATCAAAATGTAAAAATATAAAAATGTATTAACGATCGAGTATTTAAGATTGTATAAAATATATGATTTTTCTTATTCCGTTTACATACATACATATTTACGCATAAGAAAATTCTATAATCTATTAGATTACATTTTTTATATATTCCTGAATCTTTACCTATCATAGAAAAAGTTATAAGAAAAACAAAATATTTTGTTATAGATATAATAGAGTAAATAAGTATTTACTACTATATCTATTCATTATTATTTAATAGTAAAATAATATTTAATAATAAATCGAAGGCTGATACGCTTTTATGATGAAATGCTATTCAATGATGACAATGCTTTTGTAATCGAACACTTTCTGAATCCTCCCAAAATAATCCAAGACAATATAGATATAATTAATAATTAACATGAATTGTATATTTTTATACAGCTACCAGGAAACATCTCAATAAATCAGCTTTCTGCATTACACAAAGTAGAAATTGTGATATATGAAATAATTGAATGTTATACTTGTAAGATTGTGATGAATGTCATATTATTATTAACAAATCTTTGAAGAAAATATATAAAAAAGCTTCATACTGACGTGTGTTTTTAGTTGGCTATATGTTCCTAAATGTATTCAGGAAATTACATTGAATTTCTCTCACAGCTAAGATCATCTTTAAAATCTCATTAATATTAAAAAAAAAATTAATTAGGTCGAGTGGAATTGAATGTAATTGAGTTTACTGAAAATTCACTTTATTTTGACAATACGAAATAATATTGCAGAAGAGGCTGCTTATTACGTACCTCAGTTGACTTTACCAGCAGCAATAACATTGTCGTTGACAATGCGCATGTAGAAAGTATCGGCGTATCGA